TTCTTTCCAGGGCACACAAAGCAAGCAACTATTTTGGGATTAAAAAGTAGCAGCTGGTGGCTGTTGGAAGCAGGGACTCTTGTGGCCACAGGTCTCTGCTCGGCCCTACCATGTCCCCGCCGTGGTTCGAGGCTCTGAAGGACAGATCCCCACGTTCTCAAAGGACATGTTAGTGATGCTTTCAAATACCAGGACCCAATCTCTCACAGGAGTTTCTAAATAGTTCTCAGCAGTGACACCTGCAATCTCCCTCAGGGAGACTAGGTGTGGACTATTTATTGAGGGTGGGGGACAAGTTCAAGTGCTACGAGGTAGAGGGGACAGGGGTTCTCATAATTAGTTACCTTGGGGGGGGGGCGCCTCTCTGAGGTGACATTTGAATGACAATAACAGTGAGGAGAAGGAAAGGAGATGACATCAGAGTTGAGATCCGAGTGACAATGGCATAAGGAGAAACGTTCCCGTGTCAGAAAGGGGCCCTGGTCTCCCCAGGAAAGAAGGGTCTGCAGGGCTTGAGTGGAAGGCACAAGGTGGACTTTGGATTCCATGAGAAACAGGGATTCGCTGAAAGGTTCAAGGCGGGAGTGGCAGCGATGGGACTTATGCTTTGGAAAGACCTGGGCTTCTGTGGCAAGGACGGCCATCGCAGTCGATTAGGCAGTGGCGGTAGTTTAGGGGTTTGGCAGTAGAGAGGGGCTAAGAAGTGGCTGGCTCTGGAATGCATACTGCAGACAGAGTTAACTACTAATGTAATTCTGCGTGAAACCCCCTGTCCACAGCCAGCTTTGTAATGGTTCGGATCGAGATGAAAATCAGTGCCTTTCTTCTTTGAATCCCACCGTGTCTTCGTCGGTACCGGGGGCGGTGACACCTACCTCGCCGGCTTGAGGAGGCCTGAAAGGTCTAGGAGCTGGGGCCGTGCCGGTTCGGCGCCGGGCACTGGGAAGCCACCCAGAGGGGCGGTATCCTGCGATGCCAACCAGGAGGCTTTGAGGAAGCGGGAGCGACTAGCGGGGGGCGGCCCCCTCACCCCGTGGCCTGAGCTGCAATGGCTACGGCCTACTCGTGGACTTCGGGGACCAACACCGCTAACCCGGGTCGTGGGATCCCATCTCGCTCACAGCTGGTGCTCGCGCATGCGCACCGACATCCAGGCGCGATGGATCGAACCACAGCGCGCGAAGGGGAGCGGGAGTCTTGGAGGAGGAAAGGAAAGCTGCAGGAAGGAAGAAAAGACCAAGATAGGACTCCAAAGTGGACTTGACTCTGAGGGATCACGGTCATGGAATCTAGCAGAGGCACTGGCGTTGTCGCCGATTCAGCACCGAGGCTCTCTGGTCCCTAACACCCTCGACTTGTGTGGGTGAGTCCGGAAGGGCAGGAGACCGGAAGTTGCGCAGGCGCAGTGAGGCCAGAAACATGGCGTCCAGGCCCAAGCGGCGTGCGGTGGGCAGTGGAGCTTCGCAGCC